GTTTCGGAGCATCTGAATGAAATGAAAACGGAAGGCTTTTCCGAGTCACAGTAAGTGATGGAATCAGGTTATATTCCTTGTGTATGACTCATCCTTCAGCCACAGATGTAACATGACCTGTGACTGTTGGGCTCATTCTCGCATCAAACTCTTCTGGATTTTCTGCTTTGCTACTTCGTGTCGTATTTTTGTTCAACTTTTTTGTCAGGTTTTTTTATTTCGAGACTTTGGGGGTGCACTAGTGTTTTTCCGAAATTCGATCCATTTTTGTCTAATTAAATTCGATGAAGGTTGCAATGTATTCTCTCCTGGTTGCGTAATGTCGACAACGAGATAAAGTGAGAATTGTTTCAATTGCTTTGATAGTGTATATCTTTGTAATGTACTACTCATAAGGTTGCTGAAAATCCGTCGACAGCCCACGACCGGTTTCGCGCTTTTGGGGGCTCATCAGGTTTATGCATATATATCTCGAATATCATAGCGACTGAAACGTAAGGCGGTCTGGTGCAGCACATTCAGTTGCCTAAGAACATCACAAACGAGAGATTCAGCTGGGTTCCAGGTGAGTCTCGAAAAACCAATTTAGTTTGCAAATCAGTGTATATTCGCTACTTTTAAAGTGCTTGCAAGTTATCATCTGCCAAAACTCTTTTGAAACAACATATTTTCTTGATTGACCCAAATTGATCTAATTTAGTTTATTCAGCTGCGGTTGGCAAACACGAGTGAACGACTCGACTCCATGAGTGCTCTAGATTAAAACGACCCCAGCTTTACGATGAAAACCAAACAAGTCCTTGGTGAATTTTTCGCACTCCCTTAGACGGTTTTTTGTTGGAAACAGAAGTACTAACAAGGTCATCCATGTGCCCCTCAGATTCACAACTGCGAAATTCCCTTCATGTGACCAACTCATACAGGTAACCTGTCGAAATGCTCGTTTCTGTATCGAATCAGGCGCCTACTGGACAGTTTGGAAGGTAGTTTTGTTCTCCATCTTTCAGAAGATGCATATATTTATTGGGAATTTAACGAAGAGGATCAATGTGAGAAGCCTCTGTTGGATTTTATACTAAAAAGCAGAAGTTTCGACGCAATACACTATTCCTAAGGTTCATGAAAGCTCTTCGACAGCCTGCGACAAGGCTCAAGTAAAATGTAAGGTTCATGGAGACTCGAGGACTGCGCCAACCTCACGAGCCCCAAGAGGGGCCAAACCGTTTGTGGGCTCTCGAGGAGTTTTCAGCAACCCTGTGGGTAGTAGTGTTGCGTCCGTACAACGCATCACTTGCATTACATTTAGTTGAAGAAAAAAAATCATGAGCGAAATATTACGCTGGGTTTCAGGTAAACCTACTTTGAGATCCAAACTTGTATGCAAATGAGTGTATTTTTCGAAGCAGGAGGTATGAAAAGCAGAAGTTTCGACGCAATACACTATTCCTAAGGTTCATGAAAGCTCTTCGACAGCCTGCGACAAGGTTCAAGTAGAATGTAAGGTTCATGGAGACTCGAGGACTGCGCCAACCTCACGAGCCCCAAGAGGGGCCAAACCGTTTGTGGGCTCTCGAGGAGTTTTCAGCAACCCTGTGGGTAGTAGTGTTGCGTCCGTACAACGCATCACTTGCATTACATTTAGTTGAAGAAAAAAAATCATGAGCGAAATATTACGCTGGGTTTCAGGTAAACCTACTTTGAGATCCAAACTTGTATGCAAATGAGTGTGTTTTTCGAAGCAGGAGGTATGTTACTGAATATGGGCGGGAATTCAGAATGGCTTTCCATGACATCTTGGTCAGCCTTCAGCAGGCTACTGAAACCACATGTGAACAGTATAAAAAGACAGACGACTTGGTGAACGATTTGATTGTGTTGGGTTAATTGCTTGAAAGAAAACGTGTTTACTGGGTGCATCTGTCACGTGACCATGTTACGAAAGAAGTCGGAGTGGCCTCGTTTCGAGATATTTAGTGCACTTAAATTGCCCCAGGGTGTAACTTCGAATAGTTGTTGATAAGAATAGAGGTTGTATGTCTCTCAGTTGTGTGGCGCGAACCAACCTTCAAGGCGCTTGGTATGTTCTAACTTTGAGTGATTCAGTGTATTCGAGCGAGAGTGCTATTCGCACCACACGCGAATGTGAAGGTAATTGAGTTGTTCCCATTGACTTGCGTTCAAACAGCTTTACTGTGTCTCCTGAAACATCGATGCCGCAATCGTTTCATCAAATTGGTTGTTATCCGCCCTAATTCGTGAGAAGGATTTACCGCCAGAAATGTCGTTCCTTTCGTGTTTTGTGCATTCAGACTCCTCGTTTGGAGGGCAAACATACCTCGTCCATTCTGTATCAATCCATGCAGGCGGGAGTTCAGCTCCATTAGTTAGGCTATTGACTTATTCACAATGTTTTGTTGTTTTAGAGCACACTGGATGGAATTTAGGCAGAATTGCCAACATTTACAAGGTGACCCGTCACAACTCGGTTGTAGTAGCCGAAGAGATCACTACTAGGTCTAAACTATTCCCAAAAATTCCACTGAAAGCACTGTCACCATCTTTGCGAACTAGTTCTTTGTGTCCGCACGACTCCACTTAACTGATTTAACAAACTCTATGTCCCTTGGGACTCTAGGTTTTTTTTTACAAATGTATCTACGAAAAACAATTTCCAGAGCTAAGTACGGACTGACTAGTTCAGTCGGAGTAGTGGTTTACCTTCGCGAGGAGCGTGTTGTAGCTAGAGCGTATTACCGATAGCAAGGGTGTGTGAAGTGAAGTAAGCCCACCAAATTAAGTGTTTTCCATGACCCAAAATATGTAGTTTGGACTCACAGGTCGCCATTCTATATTCGTCTTTTGTTTAGAAACACCCAACCACCCTCTACTTTGGAAGCGATAACGGCAATCAATTCCACTTACGACGATTGCTCCTGGAAGGTAAGCACTCAAAGACGAACGTCCGTCATCGAACACACTGTTACTTTCATGTGTTCACTTGTGATTGTGGGATACTCTTTCAAACGACGCCAAAAGTTCCTTGTACAGTTCTAAATGAGTTGAAGTTATTTTGTTGCTTTTAAACCAAGTTTTGACAGGTCCCCTGATGACAAGTGCATATTCGCTGAGGAACTCTTGTAATATGCAACCAGCTTTTCACTTTGTTCATCTAAACTAGCAGATACCAAGTGTAGACACAACTTGGCATTGTTCCTATGAGAACAGATAGATAACTGCTATTTGTTGGGGGTACGCGAATTTCATTCAGGCGTCCGATACTACTTGCAAGACTAGTCCTTTTTACACAAATTTTGGCCATACAGCCTACAGGTTGTAGTAAGAAAAGGAACTTGGGTTTTACGGAAGAAAGTATCGTGCAACCTGATTTGGGGTATATGATCAGATTTGAAAGATTTGGACACAAATGAATGCTAATGAGCGATTGTAATTGTTCAATTGTCCACTAGAGTTTTCCGTTTGGTTCTAACGTTAGATTTGCCTATAGGCTGGGGGAGGGGTTAGGTTACTTAGAGGTCACTTAGAGGTTACCTCCGCACGCGGTTTATGCGGAGTACAGCTATTCCGGGTTTGAAAGCCGCGATATCCATGGCTGATTGAAAAGCTTTGCGAAGGGAGTCACACTTTTGTCGATGTCCCTTTTCCCTGTGAGGCGGAAAGCTGTACCGATTTCAGTTAGCCCCACGACTGATGGACAGGCATAGTGCTTCACGCTGTTATGGAATTACTGACTTGAGTAAATTGGTCGGTGTGTACTCAACCAAGAAAAGGCAATCTTTTCGACAAAATTTACGCATGTGTTTTAGTGCCTCCGCTAACAGCGTTGTTTTGCTCTCCTAAATCCAAATAAGAAAGCATTTTTGACTTCCGAACAGTTACCATGTCATGCTCATCGAGTGTGATTTGCCTTGTGGTTGGCAAATCAGTGTTGAGCTGTTGAGCAACAGCTGATCAACCTCAATCCGATTGCGACAACCAATCGTTTATTACCAGACGTGTCACGTGAGAGCGCGGCCACTGCCGGGGCCCCCTACGTCAAAATGTTCCGCACTCATCCGTAATTGATCTTTCAGTTTGTATTGGGTAACGTTGTCGACAAGTTGTATTGGAGGATGTACTTCTTATAAGCCCTTAGAGACGTACGGGTTATAAATCATTCCTGTCTGATTGTTGCTGGGCCCAACTTGATATATGAATATAGACATCGGAAAAGAGAACGCTAGATGAACGCGTTTTCAGTTACTCAAGTCATAAGTAGGGTCGAATGTAATAAAAGGCGAACGTTGGGGTAGGAAAATCTGCATGTCAGTCAGAGCGAAGCGTGTCATCTAACATAGAGCTGATTGCCTGCGTTATCTAGGAGAAATGACCTGGTTTGTGTTATTGAAAGATGAAAGATAAACGTTGGGACAGTCCAGCTGGGTAATTTGGACATGACAAGCGAGAGATTCAGCTGGGTTCCAGGTGAGTCTCTCGAAAAAACCAAAGTATTTTGCCAATGAATGTATATTCGCTAATTTCGTGCGATTTTGTTTCAATTAGAACATAAGGTTGACGGAAACCCGGGGACTATGCCTACTTGATGAGCCCCAAAAAGGGTGAAACCGGTCGTGGGCCTGTCGGCGGTTTTCAGCAACCTTATGGGTAGTACATTACAAAGATTGCACAAATCCTCTCTGTGCACTTCTGTGTGAGAAGTGGGATAGCAAGGGCTTCGTCAACCGGGAGATTACGCCGACCTGAATATAATACATCAAGCCATATCTCACATACAATCCAGACAATGATAACTGCGTTCGAGGTGACCTTTGACCTCATTGGCATGCGGATTTTCCTACTCCACGTTTGCCTCACACTGATTGATTCGCTCTCATTATGTCTGACGCCCGGAAGATGAATAACGGAAAACACGTGATCACATAAAGTTCCATCTCTTAGCTAATATTTTAATGTTATACTAAACAACTAAATCCCTCTTCCAGAAAACACAGCAAATCAAGTCGGAGCTTTCGAAGACTCTTCGAAAAGTGTCTGGTATTGATGAAGAAAGTGGAACACAGCATCATCAACTAGAACACTGTGGCGAGTTTCTACGGATGAAACCAACGGAGAAATTTACTGATTACAGCGTGAGTTATCTGCTGTTTAATCTACCGCAAAACTCAGGTTGCGTCATTTTTTTTCGCTTTTTGTAAATTTATGGGTGTTGGAGATAAATCCAAAGTTATTTTGAATACTCCCTGTGGTCGATGATTGTCATGTCTTTGTTTTAAACTTCCTCATTTCCATCAGGTAATTTCGCAAGTCGATCGATTGACTCATCTTTCACAGTGTTGATTTTAACTTGACGTACGTTGCATGCAAACTCATAACCAGATGGGTTGCTAATCTCATCAGGCCTGCACGTGCAATGCGTACGAGCATTGACTCCAGTATCAAGACCCAGTGAGGAATGGATCGGCACAGCAGGATTATCGGAGGTTATTCGAAGACTGTTGAACTTAGCCGACATTCGAGTAGCTTTTCAGAAAGGAAGAAACGCTACGCTCAGTTTTGGTGCAATTGAAAGATCCCCTGCCGGCTGAGAGGACTAGGGACTGTGTGTAAAAGTTAAATGCAACGATTGTACTAAGGTTTACGTAGGACAAACACTCAGGAAACTGCACACCAGAATTGGCGAGTATAATAGAAAGATAAACAAACCACCGAGGAATGCGGGTGGATACAAAGCGCTGGTCGAGGACTCAGTGATGGCGGTGCATGCGTTAGACACGGGACAGAATACGTCTGCGGAATGTAGAGGTTTTAAGACGAAAACTGAGATTCACACCACAGCGGTTAATGGCCGAGGCGGTGGAAATCGCCAAGCATCACAGCGTGAATAGAATACAGAGTGTAGAAGTGACGAGCATATGGAGAGTTGTCTTAGATAAGCGGAGTTGACACGTGACGCTGTGAGGTGGCCACTGTACGCAGAATAATTAAGCAGAGGGTGGAAATCCCAACCTGTTCACCGTTCGTGGAACCGCTTTCCCTTAAACAACCATCGTAGCACGAGGTCATCCACACAGGCGGACAAAAGTCCCATCAGCTTGACATCCGCCCTGGCACACAAATTCCTTTGGCCGATTCTTAATACAGATTTAGCCTGACTCAGCTGGTTGGTTCTCCTTCCATCTTAAATCTCGACCAACGTCGTAACCTAGTTACTTGACCTGACGAAGCTTGTGCGTCAAAAGCGAAACGTTGCCCAGCAATAAATCAACCGATTGTCACCAAACTTTTCCGAAAATGGTGACTACTCAATCGGTTTCCAGGCGTTTCCAGGTTTTTAACCACCTCGAATTGTCTTGGATAGCCCTGGGGAATTTCGTAACAAGGCAGGAGGCATCGTTTCAGAAGAGCTTGGTAAATAATCGGTAGTTTTTGGCAACGTTTCGCTTTTTACACAAAAGTTTCATCGGGCCACGAAATTGGCCAGGTTGTAAGACAGACAGGGAACCAATCAATAAGTCAGTCCTCTTCAGATTATCACACTAGATCAGTGTTGAGTGTCAGTTAACGGCTCTTTTTGGCTAGTGTGGTTGCCAAAATCTTGAAGTGATGGGTTGGAGGAGTTTCAAATTACTTCCGACCTGTTTTTGTTCCTAGTATTCCACTTCAGGGTGCTTCAATTGATGATTCACGTCGGGTGACACTGGTAGATTTTCCTTGGCATTCGCGGCCATGTGAATGCGACAGTTTATTTAGGGGGAGGGGTTGTGGGTAAGGTTGAGTGGAATCCAGATGATGACTACTCTCTCTCTCTCTGATAATCGCACACCAACACGTGACTCAAGGCCGTTCTCCACGTGCTTGCCAGGTCCACGCCTTCTATTCTGTTAACACTGGGATGCTTGGCGATTTCTACCGCCTCANTTGGCCGATTCTTAATACAGATTTAGCCTGACTCAGCTGGTTAGTTCTTCCATCTTAAATCTCGACCAACGTCGTAACCTAGTTACTTGACCTGACGAAGCTTGTGCGTCAAAAGCGAAACGTTGCCCAGCAATAAATCTACCGATTGTCACCAAACTTTTCCGAAAATGGTGACTACTCAATCGGTTTCCAGGCGTTTCCAGGTTTTTAACCACCTCGAATTGTCTTGGATAGCCCTGGGGAATTTCGTAACAAGGCAGGAGGCATCGTTTCAGAAGAGCTTGATAAATAATCGGTAGTTTTCGGCAACGTTTCGCTTTTTACACAAAAGTTTCATCGGGCCACGAAATTGGCCAGGTTGTAAGACAGACAGGGAACCAATCAATAAGTCAGTCCTTTTCAGATTATCACACTAGATCAGTGTTGAGTGTCAGTTAACGGCTCTTTTTGGCTAGTGTGGTTGCCAAAATCTTGAAGTGATGGGTTGGAGGAGTTTCAAATTACTTCCGACCTGTTTTTGTTCCTAGTATTCCACTTCAGGGTGCTTCAATTGATGATTCACCTCGGGTGACATTGGTAGTTTTTCCTTGGTCTTCGCGGCCATGTGAATGCAACAATTTATTTAGGGAGAGGGGAGGTGGGTAAGGTTGAGTGGAATCCAGATGATGACTACTCTCTCTCTCTGATAATCGCACACCAACACGTGACTCAAGACCGTTCTCCACGTGCTTGCCAGGTCCACGCCTTCTATTCTGTTAACACTGGGATGCTTGGCGATTTCTACCGCCTCATCTATCAGTCTCTGTGACGCGAACCGTACTCCTCGCCTCAAAACCTCGACATTCCAAGTCTATTTTATGTCCCGTGTCCAGTGCGTCTTCCGCAATTGCCTAGTCTTTCAGTTACGCTCGACATTCATCTTCGTTTCTCTGCCGCCGGCTTGTTTTTCTACTTCACTTTCACTGGCTGTCTGTCCTAGATAGAACCTGGTGCAGTCCTTACACTTAATTTTTTAAAAAGGCCCTGGTTCTGTTTGCCGGGAGGCACCAGTGCAGAGCGCAAAGTGTTGCCCCTCTGGAAAACTACTCTTATGTTAGCTGTCTTTAGAATCCTTCGAATGACCTCCGATGTCCCTGATTTATATGGAATAACAGCGGTCCCGATCCATTTCCTGTTGATTTTCGCTACCAGTACCAACACCCTTCGCAATTGACGCTTAATCAAGCTAGCAGGATATCGAAAACCCCGAAGTTTGTTCTTTACTTCAATTTGGGCCGCTGTCCGATCAGCTTCTTCTGTGCACGAGGCCCTTACACACCTAAACATTGATGGCGCAATACTGGCGAATGCCGACTTCGGATCGGCAGACGAGTAGTTCAAAACTGTTTCCCCCAGACCTCATGTTTCATGCTGTCTTAAAAGGCCAAGGTACCCGAGGTTGACTGTTTTCATACTAAATTTGATGTGTAGACTCAGTTCACTCAGATAGTTGTAAAACCCACTTACCTGTTTCGTTTCATCACGACGAAAGTGTCATCTACATACCACCAGAATATCTTTGGTGGGTGTGGGACTCCGGCTAAAGCTCTCTGTTCAAATTCTTCCATAAATATATTTGCCAAAAGCGGGGATATTGGAGATCCCATTGCTAGACCTTGTTCTTGAGTATCAATCACTGAGTCAAAAACGAAGTGGGTCAGATTCATACATGCTTTTATGCCTTCCACTATTTCATCCACCGTGAGCTGTGTCCGTTCTGAAAGGGTGGTGTCCACTAATAGCAGTCGCTTGGCTATTTCTAAAGAGTCCCCTTTTGGCACAATTGTCTATAACGAATTCACATCGAAACCTACAAGGATGTCATCTGGTTCAACAGTGACACCCGCTACTTCGGTGGCGAAATCATGTGAATTCTTAATGTAAGTACTAGATTTCCCAGTGAGGGGCTTTAAAATACCGGCCAAGAATCTGGCCAGTTCGTGCGGTGGGGAACCTATTCCGTCTACTATCGGTCTCACCGGGACATCTGGTTTATGGATTTTTGGAAGGCCATAAAGTCGTGGTTGGATTTCCCTTTTGGGGTACAATCGATACTTGTTACCTTGCCCTAAGTGGTTTATCATGGACCGCGAAAATCCCCCAACTTCGGCTTCACTGCTATTCATCATAGATGTAATATGCACATTACCGATCTCCCTCCGTAAGGACCCTCAGCTAGGTGTTGCTTAACCTACTGTAAATAATAATTCTTATTCATGACAACAGTAGCCTTACCTTTATTTGCCTTTGTAATCACTACGTTGTCCAAAAAATTGTTACTAAACTCTTCTGAAACGATGACTTCTCAATTTCTCAATCGATTCAAAACCTTTTCTAAAAGCAGCAGGCACTTCAAGAACCTGTGCTTGGCAATATTCAACTTATGCCGAGTCCTCATCTACCGAGACCAGTTTTGTCTACTCTCCCCACTTCAGTATGTCTCAAACTGTAAGATGACTTGACAGAAGGGTTGAAAAAGGATTGTGAAAGTTTTAGTTCTTTGGTGCTATTTAACTCCCATGATAGAGTTGGCCTGAAGTTTTTATCGCGCTTGGCTTGGAACGTTGCATTGTGTTAGTGGTGTTCACGCAGTCTGGATTGGGCTAGCGTACCATCTATTTCTTTTCCACCCTTGGTCTCTTATTAGGAGAAAATAAACCTTGCTGCAGCATCACCCATGAAGTGCCATGGTCAACACTGATGCTGAAGTCTGTTGTGGCAATCATGACACTCAAGGGGGACGTAAGTTTAGGTGCACTGGAGAGAGTGGAGAGTAATAAAAAAAGACTGTGAAGACAGCGACCCCCAAAAGGAGCTTCAGTTTGGTTTGGACGAATCCAAACAAGATAATTAGAATTAAAAAGGATACAGTGAAGTAGTTCTGGAAAAGTAGGCGAGTAGTCACAGATCTTGTAGCTTTGATTCCAGGCAGGAAAGAAATAGCGAAAGTGATGAACAAGTGTCAAGACGATGCTTCCCACCCGGACAAGAGTGCTTGTCATCTACCGCCTGATATAATACGAGCATTAGTAACCACTAAGTGATTCGAACATCCTTGTTACATACAAAGACGGTTTTGTCATCTACTAAACCCAGTCACATTGACGGTACATCAGCTTGTCTGCTGAGGATTCACGGCCAACCAGCGAGTGTTTGCATTTACAGCCTTCCGGTGCCTAACGTCACCGGCCCCAAACGTTTGGTTGGTTTAAATGGGAACAGGAAGGAATTGTGTACTGGCTGAATTGAATGATCGTTTTTGAAAAAAAGTTTTGTGACAATCGGTAGATTTATTGCTGGGCAACGTTTCGCTTTTGACACAAAAGCTTCGTCAGGCCAACTGAATAGGTTCCGAGGTTGGTCGAGACTTAAGGTGGAAGGAGAACCAATCAGCTAAGTCAAGCTAAATCTCTGTTGGGTGACGGCCGAGGGATTTTAGTATGTTAGAGTGGTTGAACAAGTGTTGGGCCGATGGGGGAACCTACATGTGTTCGGGTCCAGCCTAGGGTCTAGTTCTTCTAGTTCGGTCGATTTGATGGGCCCTCTTGAACGTCGTTTGAACCTTCTGTCAATCTGTGTGGGTGAGCTAGTGCTAAGATAGTTGTGTGAGAGGGATGCTGTGACTTTCGGTCGGGTAGTGATTCCCACCCCCACTCCCCGGTTTTTGCTTATGATTCTACGTGGGTTAACAACCACACAATCACGTGTTAACTCGGCTTATCTAAGACCGCTTTCCATACGCTCGCATTCCATTTCATTCCTTGGTGGTGTTCTTTTATGCTCACCAATTCTGGTGCGCGATTCCATAGCAGTTTGTCCTATGTACACCTTAGTGCAATCGTTGCGGCTAATTTCATACACACAGTCCCTAGTCGTTTCAACCGGCAGGGGATCTTTCAAGTGTACCAAAACAGTGCGTAGCGTTTTTCCCTCCTGCGCAGCTACTCGAATGTTGGCTAAGTCCAACAGTGTTCGAATAATCTGTGGTGTTCCTGATTTATATAGAATGACTGCTGTGCCAATCCATTCTTTACTGGGTCTAGATACTGGAACCAATTTCTTCCTTAGTTGACGCCTAATCAAACTTTTCATTCCTTGGTGGTGTTCTTTTATGCTCACCAATTCTGGTGCGCGATTCCATAGCAGTTTGTCCTATGTACACCTTAGTGCAATCGTTGCGGCTAATTTCATACACACAGTCCCTAGTCGTTTCAACCGGCAGGGGGTCTTTCAAATGTACCAAAACAGTGCGTAGCGTTTTTCCCTCCCTCCTGCGCACTCGAATGTTGGCTAAGTCCAACAGTGTTCGAATAATCTGTGGTGTTCCTGATTTATATAGAATGACTGCTGTGCCAATCCATTCTTTACTGGGTCTAGATACTGGAGCCAATTTCTTCCTTAGTTGACGCCTAATCAAACTTACTTGGTATCCTATTTCTTGAAGTCTGTTAGCAACCTCGATTTGAACCGCTGAAGAAGCTTGTGTCAAAAACGAAACTTTGCCCAGCAATAAATCTACCGATTGTCACCAAACGTTTTCGAAAACAATGACTACTCAATCGGTTCCAAGTATTTTTCACCTGATTGGATGTCCAGGAATGCTGCGACCTTCGGTCGGGTTGGGATTTCCAGCTCCCCAACCCCAGTTTTTGTTAATGATTCTACTTGGATTGACAACCACCCAGTCACGTGCCAACTTGGCTTATCCAAGGCCGCTTTCCGATTTTGATATGTCAGTACTAGATACGATGTGTATCGCCGCTATGACCACCTTCATTGAATGATGTTTGTGAGAGGTAGACAAGGTGACTGACTGGTGAGGTGATAGAGAGCAGTAAACTTTACACTGAATTTGAGGGATCTGATTTCCACGATTGGCCGATCTTGTGATAAAAAAATTAGTATACCAGTACTATGGTGTAGATGAGGTGTGATTTCACAGCGAATTTTGAAGCCTGTTTAATGTTCGTTTTTAACTCATGATATGCATGCTTGGCACAGGTTCTCATAACATACGAGGAATGAAGAAAGTGATCAGCTGTAGCAACCTTTCGGTGCCTCGTGTCACCCGAAGGTTGCACGAAGGCTGGGATACTGCCAGGTTGCTCAAGTCTAGACAGGGGAAGTCGAGCGGCAGAGGTCGGGTTCGAACCACGGACCTTCCGGTCAGTAAATTTGTGCTCTTACCACTTAGGCGATCTCGCCCCGAGGAATGATCAGCAACGTGAAAACTTTTGACTGGAAAAATTCATCGTCTCTAGAGTACCAGGAATTTTCGGTTGTCAAAATATGAGATGTGCAGGATACGTAGTATGTCATTTTCCCCTATTATTTTCCCTTATTCTTTTAGTTACTGAGTGGTTCCACACACATGCAGCCGTCTATTCAATTTGGTCAAAATGATATCCAGTGTTTGTTGGAGGAGAACGCCTTGTTGGAAGAACGCGTGGAACTGTATTCGATAGAGCGAAAGAAGCTACTAAGCGACAATGCCTATCTTGACCAACTGGTTGACGTAAGCGAACAGTTTTTTTTGTTTGTCCTGGTGACGAGGCATCTAATCACATTTATAATTTTTTATAACGGCTGATAAACCCACACAAGCTGCCAGCCTACATGCACGCGCTCCTGACATGCTTTGTTGTCGAGTTGAAACGTTACTAATAGCACGTTTTTCAAGGTCACACCAGCAGAAGGGGATTAATTTGGCGGCAGCTGTTTCATAGTCATCTATCATCTCGCGTGCGCGTGCGACCAACCAGTTTTGGATGAAACGCCACTCTCTAAACCAGTAACACTGTTTGTGATGATTCCACCAACGGTTCAAGTGACGTTCTCAACTTATAGTGACCGTCTGTCACATTCTGCTATTCAATCTAGTTCGTAACCTTTTCGTTTCCCGCACCAGCAACGATAAATCTAACAAGGTTCACCATTCCAACTCTCTAGAATGAATCAATTACTAACAAATCACTAGGCATTATCGTGGATACAATTCATTCACTCATCATAAATGTATTATTTACGTACTTTGTTCTATTTACATATTAACTAATCGTAATCTTGTCATACGGTCCAGTCGCTTTCTAAACGCACTTGCAGGTTTACAACCAATTGTGTCGAGCGTCAAGTTAGCGGCTGTTTCGTGTGTCAATTTTGTCCTCGTTTTTCGATGCTTTTTTTCGGGCAGGGTCACACACATGTTATGTTGCGCAGCATTTCACTTTTGCAGCTAAAACTCTATGAACTCAAAATTGTGGAAGCTGTCCACGTGACTTCGCTTATGTTCGAGTTGTAGCTTCAAATCGACAAACGCATGTTGTGCCGGGTTTCAAAAATAATTTCGGAAAGAATTTCTCATCCATGCTTGTGGCGTTTTACCTCCTACATACACATTGAGATTGATAAATGAGTGATTTGTTAACACACGACGGCTTTAGTCCAGAAAAGAAGATAGTCTGAAACCTTATACCCGTAACACACTACTCATAAGGTTGCTGAAAACCGTTCGATAGCCTATGACGGCTTCCCGCCTTCTTGAAGCTCATCAGGAGGGCGACGTCCCCGAGTTTCCTTCAGCCTTATGTTTTACTTTATTCCGGTTTAAGCCTTAGATTCAGCTGGATTCGGTTGAGTATCTTCTCGAAACCAACTTCGTGTGCAAATCTGAGTATTTGTCGAAGACAGCCTGAAGTTTTCATAAGGGAGACTACTAACAAGGTTGCGGAAACTCTTCGACAGTCCACGACCGGTTTCGCCCTTCTTGAGGCTCATCAGGTGGGCGCAGTCTCCGAGTTTCCGTCAACCTTATGTTCTACTTGAAAACAGTCCCATTTGGGAGTAGTTTCCCTCGTGAAAATATACTGCGATATTTCGAATATCGTGCCAACTGAATCATGAGGCGGCCTGTGTGCACCACCTTCAGTTGTAGAGTATCATATACGAGAGATTCAGGTTGAGTCTCCGTGAAAACCAAATTGATTTGCAAGTGAATTTATTTCTCGAAAACAGCCTCAAATCGTTTCTCCACCAATGGAAAAGTTCCTCTGTTCGTGAACAGTATAAAATGTCAATTCCAGGTAGACAATCATCTACACACTAGTTGCTCTCTCCATCCCTTGTTTGTGTTGTTCATAGCGGGACAGTTCAAATCAGAGTTCAATTGCCTTCTCCCACTTTGCATACTGACAAACCAATAGCGTTCAGGTTTTTAGACCGGTTGAGCAAATAGCCAAGTAGTGAATCGGACAGGGGAACATGGTAAGACTGTTATTATTTACGAAATTGGTGCTGTTCCGGAAATTCCGAATGCTAGCATCTCCAACTATACCGTCGGATAAAAACCAGAAGGACTCAACTTCCATATCAACGCAGGTAGGGGGCGCCAGTTGATGTCGTTTCGGGAGATGTCCACGATTGAATCGTCAAGTGTCAATCGGTAATGGCAGATGACTCCTTTGAGATTTCCTCATGGATGGTCGTAGTCTTATTCACGTTCATGAAGGATTCGTCGGACTGCTGCTTCATACGTTTTGAAGAACGCCCAAAGCCATTACAGGGGACAGTCGTAGCTAAGAGGAAAAGTTACGGTACAATAAACCTAGGTTCCCGGACGCTTTATGACATCTTGAGGGGTGTCCTTTTCAAGGGATAAATCTAAAAACGTCAACGCGAGGTAAACTTCCATCTTTGCCAAAACGATGGCCTAGCAAATACGGAGCCAAACGCAGACTCCACCGAGACACATCTTTTCATGCTTCAGTACCGATGGCAACTCAACGTAATTAACATGAATGCTTTAATGGAATTTCATTCACGGTCACCACAAAGACGCAAACCCCGTCCAGAGAACAATTCCATCGCGTTGTATTTATCCCCGATTGACGTGAGGGACCACAGTCAAACATTTTTTAATTGTGATCCATCAGATTTGTGCTTTCATCCTCTAGGACTCTTCACTAAAAAACAGTAACGATAAAGATAGCTGATCACATCGAGTCAGACCATGAATATATACAGAGAAAAGAACAAATAGTCGCCTGTATCTGCCATCAAAGACAGGTCATCATCATCATTTTGTAATAACCGCGTACTCGTCGTATAGTGGTCGTAGCTGCCGCAGTTTCGTTCACCGATGATTTGGGGGAGGGGAGGGGTAGGTAGCTGCGCATTGCATACATCCAGCACTGTCACTGGGCTGTCAAGTGGGGGGTTGGTTGGAAAAGGAGCTTTGCATTGAAGGCAATAGCTTGAATGCACGAGCGCCATTGAGGGCGCGACTGGGCCATGTCTGACAACGTCTCTAGCCATTGATGTGGCCCGTCTCGGGATCCCTATCCAGGAAGACAGCAATGACCAGCGCAGCTGAGTTTGCTGGTAATGGCTTTCATACTTCGCTGCCAAGTCATTGTTTGACCGTCTCTGGCTCT